AAGACCATTCAGGGAACCGAGCTGGGGCTGAATAGCTGACTCACCTCCATGGCACATCACCCGTCCCCACAATGCCCCTGCCCAGTCGCACTGACCACTCCCATCAACAAGCCAGTGACACAGGCAGGCCAAGGGGATCATCCCCACTTGTAGATGCAGAAGCTGAGGTCCAGGCTGGTCCTGTGGTCTTTCCTGAGTCCCTGGGGGAGGTAGAAGCAAGGGTGGAACTCCAATCCCTTCCCTTTGTTTACTCCCCAGCCCCAGTGAAGCAGGAGCTGGATGGGGGAAGAGAAACCCCTGCCCAGCCTTTCTGGTGCCTGCCCCCACGGTTGGCAGGCCAGCCAGGTGGGGAGGGGGCGGGGCTCCGTGTGCAAAGCCTAGAGGCTGCTCTGTGTCATCAGAGGACATTCCAGTTATGCAGGAAGAACATATTCCTGAGGCCCTGCCACCTGGTGACTTCTGTTTCTGCAGCATCAGCCAGTCACAGGGTCGTGTGATGAAGTGGAAAGAGCAAGGATGTTGAGGGGAGGCAGATCTGAACTTGTATCCTGGCACCTCCCTCTGGGCTGTGGGGCTGGCCGTGCAGCTTTTTTCTTGGCCGCTGTTTCCTCACCTATGGAAGGAGGAGGGCGCATTACTCCTTGTCGGCCGCTGTGCTGATTCAGTATCACGATGCAGTAAAGTGCCCAGCAGGCAGTCCATGCTCGAGAAATGTTCATTCTCTTTCGTCCTTCTCTTCCCCCTTCCCCTGAAAGACAATTAGTCAGCTCTCAGCAACTGATTCTGAAAGGCAAAGTACAATGTCACTAGGCGCAAAGTTTGAACTGCAAGGCGAATATTTTCCTTAAGAACCAATAAGGACTTTGTATGGCAGACACAGAGATTTGTAAGCCGTTAGTATAGTAAGAGATCTTCCATTGAAATCTTCTAAAATAGCCAATCCCCCACAACATTTCCTTTTTTGGGGACCACCTCTTGAAGTAAGTGGAGTAGCCAGCCAAGACCCATCCTTTTATCTGCCGAGTTAGCACAGACCTCACTGTAATGTCCAGTCCTGATTCCAGTTTTCTCTGCAGGCTCTGCCAGCTCACCTACCTTTGTGGATTACCCTTCCAGCTGTAGCAGCTTGGATCTTCAGGCTTCCCCAAGGATCACAACTGCTGATCCTTTCACCCTTTTAAAAAGAGATACACTGGCCTGCCATTTTCACTCAGCTCTCCGCAGTCCAAGAGCCACGGTTCTACCAAATTCCCAGGTGATGCTGATGCTGCTGGTAGGGGGACCCCACTTTGAGAACCACTCGTCTAGGGTAGTTCCGTGCAGGGACCCTGAGGCTAGGCTGCTGGCTTCCCAGCTCTGCGACCTTCTAGCTGTGCCCCTCCAGGCCACAGTTGCCTCTTCTGTAAAGTTGGGATAATCATAACCCCTACCTCTTAGGTAACCCTGGAGTTAACACTTGTAAACTACGTGCCTGGTGCATAGTAAGTGCTCAATAAAATGTGCTATTATTAGTATAGCAAAAAAAAATGGTAGCACTTTCAGGTTTCGTTCTGGGCTTTGACACTGGCCATGTGACTTTGAGGACATCATCTCACCTCAGTGTTCCCATCTGTATTAAGACAGAGATGAGAACCCACTTTACATTCCACGCAGGGCTGTCAGGATCATGGCATCTGTGTGAGTGCACTTTGTCTGTGGCAAGTGCTGTACAAACACCTGCAGCAAAGTTTTGGGGAAATAACATGAAGTCAGAGAGACCTGGCCTGAAATATCAGGTGAAGTTGGCATGTATCTGCCTCTTTGAGCCTCACTAAAATAAGGGAATTCCTAGTCAGGGCCTCAGAGGAGCTGGGAAATGTCCTGAGAACCCTCACCTGAGGTCTGTGCCTCACCATCCCCCTCAGCCAGCACCAGGATGTAGCCAGCCAGTCAAGGTCAGTGCTGGTGCCTGGGTCTTGCCCCGCCCCTTCCCACAGAGCTGCCATGGAGCAGCAGCCAAATGTGAGCCTCTCTAGCTTGGGACCTGGGCTGACTCACATGCTGGCCAGTGCCCCTCACAGACCCAGAGCCCCCGGCTTATGGTCCTGATGAGGATGAACAAGAGAAAGGGTGGGGTGTCCTGCCTGAGCCCACACAGGGCAGGCCTTCAGTCCACATCCCTCTCCAGGCAGTGGTCCTGTCAGCCCCTCCCATGCTGCCTCCAAACAGATTGCCTCTGGGAGCCATCAACTCTGGAAGTGAATTCCTTGCAGCAGTAAGAGGTTTCACAGCAACTTCATTCTCTGCGAGAGAGGAGAAACAGCCCCTCCCTTCTCTAGGAAGGGAGGGGGCAGTCAGAGGCCTGTTTAATTTAATTTAACGCACCGTGGCTTGCCAGGTTGCCCCTGGTAACAGCTTCAGCTACTGCTTCAGTTACAACCAGATGGATTTTTAAAGAGACAGCCCATCTGAGGACCAGAATTGCACAGCGGAGTGAATGGTCTCCACCAGCTTCATCACAGGGATAGAGGATTAGAACTCAAGCACGGTGAGGCCTCAAACCAGGTCTGTTTATACCATTAACTCCATTCTGAAGCTGCAACCTCATAAGCCCTCCTGCAAACGGTACTCTAAAGTGGGATCTGAGGAGGGGCCACACTTGGGAATAATCATGGAGATGTCACTCAGGTAGCTACTTCTCCGAAAACAGTTTTCGTCTTCAAGATGAAGGGAAGGAGAGTTAACCTATATGGGTTGCCCCGCAATTCAGGCACTCTGCCACCAGGTGGTAGTATTGCTCGCTTAGTGCAAATCCTAACCACCTCTTGAATTACTCAAGACTCAGAGTGGTGGTGAAACCACTAGGTTTTAAGTCCTGATACTAACTAGTGTGTGCCCTAGGAATTTGCTTCACCTCTGCAGTCTCAGTGTTCTCAGAGATACAACAGGGAGATTGATCAAGATAACTGAGTGCTATGGACAAGGCTTGGGGCTAGGACTACAAAGGCATGTGTTTACATCCCAGCTCTGTCATGTACTAAATGTGTGGTTTGGACACAGAATTTCTTGCATCTTGAATACGAAACAAGGGAGTGGCTACGAACCAGGGACAGCCCTGGACACCACGTTGCTCTCCAACACTGGGAACTTATGGAGACGAGAAGGGTGCAGGGTCCTGGGGCCCCACAGAAGACCTGAGGCCCTGGGAGCACAGCAGAGGTTGGAGATCAGGGTGAGTTAGGGTGGCTCTGATTCCAGGGCCTGAGACCTTGTTGCCCCACCTTGAACTGAAACAGGGCAAAGCAGCCTCCTAGACCCCATAAGCCCTCTTGGCTCTGACTCAAACTAGGAGAAAGGGGGCAACATTTGTAGCACACTACTCACAATGCCCCTTTGCTGATAAGGACACAGCATCTAAGGGGCAGTGCATCTGCCCAGGGTCACCTGCCTCATGTGGCCAGGCCTGTTGTCCACCCAAGCCTCTGCTGTGTGCGTTGCAGCCCCCCCTGGTCTAGTACACCTGCTGTCCTTGTGGCCACACCTCTTCTTCAGGAGCCTGAAAGGGGAAGCGGGTTCTCCGTCTCTCCACTATGACTCAGTTTGGCCAACCTCAAAGCAGGCAGGGGGCCAGAGGTCATGAGATCACACCTACAGGCGGCCAGGGAGCCTGAGGCACACATGCCTTTGGTCCTTCACACAGTCAGGTCCTGACTTTATATCAAGGTCTTTGGCCAGCTTGGCCCACAGTAGGTGCCCCATGAATCTGAGTCCCTTTCTCACATCCCAGGCCCTGTGTAGGTATAGCAGGTAAGGTTATCTGGCAGCCCATCCCAGCCTTTTGCCTCTGCCGATGTTCCCCACTGAGCTCTCAAGGGTGCCCTTTGATCCTTAGGACCCGCCGCTCTCCCCTCCAGACAGTCCTGTTCCCAGCTAAAGCCCCCATATACATATTGCCGCCTAAGTAAGAGGACAACTCTTCAAGGTGATGTGGTTGCAAAAACACACTGGATCTTAGTACTCCCCAGCTCTAACCCCTTCCATGGCTCCCCACTGCCTTGCAGATGACCTCCCGGTCCTGACCCTGCCACTCAGGGGTCCCTCCTGATGTGCCCCTGCTGGCTCATCCCCCGCCCCTTACAGCCCCGACACACCTGCTCGCTCATCTCTGAGCTTTTGCACATGATGTGCCCTCCATCTGATGCCACCTCTCACTGTACCCACCTGGGTGGTTCCTCCTTGCCCTTGAGAACCCTGCTCCAGTATGTCCTCCTCCTCTGGAAGCCTTGGGGGGGCCCCCCTCCGGATCATGCAGGACACCTTCTCCCATAGCTCCTGGTGTTCCTTCTGCTCTGTGTCTTTCAGCTGGCTTTCCCTCCAGACCAGGCTTGGGCCTGGATTCAAGAATTCGCCCCTATGGGCAGTCACACCACTCAGTGGGATCTACTCACAAGTCTCCCTTCCTCTCTTCCTCCGAACCATCCAAGGCCGCCCCAGAGCAGCCGCAGCCTAACTTGCCAGCATTAGATCCCCCCACACCCCATTCCCACTCACCGTGCTCCATGCTCACCAGCTGCCCACACGTCGCCATGCTGAGCCCTCGTCTGGAATGTCCCTGTCCCCCACCCCACCCTCTGAACTACCACTGCTGTCCAAGACCCACCTTACAGCCTATCCTCTGTGAGACCTCCTGAGAGTCTCCTGGCTGGAAGTGGCATCTCTGTCCTGTGGCATTTGTCTTCATCTCCCTCATGGCCTTGATCAAACTCTGCTTCATACTATGGTTATTGATAAGCCAGTGCCATGAGGGGTGCGTGAGCTTTGAAAACTAATAAATGGAGTTCAAATACCAGCTCAGACTCGTGCATGCTATGTGACCTTGGGCAAGTCAATTTACCTCTCTGAACCTATGTGCCTGTAAAATGGGATTAGCGAGCAGGTGTGTTGGGTCTGTAAGGGGCGGGGATGAGCCAGCAGGGGCACCTCAGGAGGGGCCCCTTATAAGTTGTGGTGAGACTGAGATGATGGGTGTCAGGATCCTGGCAAGTGGCAGACACTCTGTCAAACCCTGTGATTTATGCCTAAGTCTGTCTCCCCAGCCCAATTGTGAGCCCATGTGGGCTAGGGTGCAGGACCCATTCAGTACCACTGCCCCAGAACACCCAACACAGGGCTGCACAGCACAGATGCCCAGAAGTGCTGGCTGGACTGAAGGCTTCATCCTAGCTGCTGAGGGTGGGGGTGGAGGGAAAATGGGGGCCCTGAGCTGAGGAGGCCATTACGGGTTGGGGGTGGGGTGAGTGCAGAATGGAGACCAGAGATCAACCAGGGAGATGAATGCGGAGGGAGGGGCTGGAGCCTGAGGCAGAGCCGCTGAGATGCACTGGGGGTTTTATTGGTTTTCATTAAAATTCCTTCCCGAGGCAGGAGCAGCTACTCCCATAAATAACGGCATAAATATTTTATCTTGTGCCCCAGTCAGTCTAAATGCACGGCAAAGTTGGCAAGAATAACAATGGAAAAACAGTTCAGGGCGGTCCTGGGCTTCAGCCGAACTCACTCACAGGCCCAAAGGGGCTTTCTCAGGAAGGCGGAAGCTAAGGGATGGCGCCAAAGGGAAGAAGCGGGTAGATGGTTGGGGGAGAAAGAGAGTGACCTGTGGAGTAGGGGCCCTGTAGTAGGGGGATCCAGAGCACAGGTCTGGGAGCCAAGGGGAGGGGAGCTTAGCCTGGAAAGCAAGACGGAAAAAGGAGATGTAACCCATGCCTGCTTGGTAATGGGCACCTTGCTCAGAGCATTTACTCAGGTCATCTTGTCAAATCCTCTGTGACCAGAGAAGTGAAGTGACTTGTCCAAGGTCACCCAGCCAGCCAGTGGTAGAGCCAGGACTATGATCAAGGGTATACTTGCTGCTACACAGGGTTCACGGAAAGGGTGGGGATCTATGAACAATGTCCCAAATGCCCTAATAACAGCAGTACGAGCCATTCTCTGCTTCCCTAGATCCCAGTGGAGGAGAAAAGGGGCTGGTACTTCACCATGACAACGCTCTTCATCAGGTCAGGCTGGGGGGTGGGGATGGGAAGGTGGGAAGGGAGATGGGGAGAGGTGGGGCCTGGAACCCAGGGGAGAAATGACTGAGCCCATCTTCATGGCAAGGGCTCCCCGAGTTCCCCTCCCTACGTCGGCCTGGGGAGGACTTGCAGCCCCGCTGGGGACAGCTGGAAGGGTGCTGACCAGCCGAATCCCCTTCTCCACCACAGGTTAGATGGCATCTTCCTGGAGCTGGGCAGTGAGGAGCAGAAGAGGCTGCCAGCCTTCAACCGCACGTTGGCCCTGCTCCGCCAAGTCCTCAAGTCCTCAGAACCCCACCACCGAGGTAGGGCCCATGGGGACTGGTGGGAGGGCAGCCTCTGCCCGGTACTCCCTGTTTCCGTCACTAGCCCTGCCGGTCTTGTCATTGTCCCCAACTCTAGCACTGTCTCCCTTTTTTGGACCCTGTTTCTCTCTCTCCTCACCTTCTGTCTCTCATACTCACTTGTTCATCTCAAGGAGCTCACACATCTGGTACAGGTGAGCGTGCCGACTGCAGAATGTGCTGACTACAAGCGCATGTGTCCAGGTCTGTCTGTGTCTGTGACCTAGAGGGTAAGAGAGAGAGTTCTCCCCCTTCCAGTCTCTTCTCCCCATTTTGTGGTTGGGGGAATGAAGGCTGTGTTGGAGAGGAGTCATTTTCTCACAGGGATTAGAACTGCAGAGCTGGGGGAGAGTTCGAGGCAGGAGAAAGGGAGGCATCCTATGTGACACAGTAAACACAGAATAAGCACTGAAATGGTTCATCCTTTCCCCACCCTTGTTTTTCTCGATCCCTGGGTGGCCCATGGTGATTTCAGGCCACTGAGCCTCCCTTTGTCTTCCAGGGGGCTGACCCTGGGAGGGGAGCCGGCCCCTCCCTCCTTGTGGCTCCCTTCCCTTTCTCCACCCTGCTGCTTCCTGAGGCCCCTCTCCTGCCCTCACCCCCAGCTCTGGCCTGGTGCTACCTCGGGATGCTGCTAGAGAGGAAGGACACCTTCTCCACCACCCCCATGGGCATCCACGATTGCGGCTTCTCAGGGACCGACCCCCTGGACTGCTTTGGCAAGGTATGTGCCCCCAGCCACACCCACTCTCCAAACCACCCCCTGGACTGCTTTGGCAAGGTATGTGCCCCCAGCCACACCCACTCTCCAAACCAGGACGGACCCCAGCCTCCTCTCCCAGAACCAGCTGCCTCTCTGAGTGTCATCCCCGCACCCATCCCCTACTCCGGAAGTGCTCTTACTCCAGACCTTTCTATCCGCCCAAACAAAACCAAAGTCCTCCCTTGTCCTCTTTGCCTATGAATCAGCCCCTCCCCACACCCAGTCTGGCCCCAGCCCATTTCTTGAGGCTTTTACTTTTAAGCTATTCATAACTTCCCTGATATATCCTCAGGCTCTTCTCCTTCGGGTCTTTGTTCACATGTCCCTCCCCATCCCCAGGAGCACAGTGGAAAGAAGATGGGTTTAACTGGGGTCCAGATGCCAGCTATACCCACAGGTCACAAGACCCTAAGACAAGTCACTTCCATCTCCGAACCTCCTTATCTATTACGTGATCTGTCTACCTTGTAGGACATTGAGAGACTCAAAGGATGTGGTGGACGAAACTGTTCACTGTAAACTATAAAGAGCTGTTCAAGCTTTATTCTTGGCACCATGTTTATGTGGCAGTTTCCACTCTTTTCTCAGTTTTGAAGTCTTTCCTGGAGGCCAAGGACCCTGTAATTTTCACTCCCCTGTACTTTCAGCATGACGCCCTGCATGGGGCATGTCCCTAGTGTTTGCTGGTGAATAGTGAGCAATTTCTTGATGAGAGATCTTAGAACAGAGCGGAGCATAAACGCTGGTTCAAGTGTGTTCCGAGAGCTGTGTCCAGTTTAACACACTGCCTCTGCCCCTCCTTGGTGGAAGATGGGGCCCCTGCTCTACAGGAATTCACCATCTCAGGGGCAGCAATGAACACAAGGCAGGCAGCTGTCAGTAACAATACAGTGTTGGGGGGAGAAGTGCTGTGTCCAGAAGAAACACTGTGCTGTGTGAGGATGGGGGAGGTAGAGGCTGATTCTCGCCCTCTTCCCACCTGCCCTGGGAAAATGGGGGGGACATGCACCAGATGTGTGTGAGGAAGAGGGGTTTGCCTGGGGTCTGGAGGGATTCACTGGACCTGTCCTGTGAACTTGGCAGAGAGCATAGCAGTGAATCAGGGACTTAGGAGCTAAGTGCCAGTGAGTTGTATTCCCAAATGTTAGGTCCGATGATATGACCCAACATACTGGCAGGTGGATTTGAGGAATAAGAGCCTTGGGGTGATATGGCTCTACCCAGAGACCAGGTTCCAGTTTTGGCAAACCTGACGAATGGTTTGCTCTTACCCTCCTCCCTTACCCAGGCCATCGAGCTTGCCAAGGACCAACCCCCTATCCTGAATCGCCTGGCCAAAATCTTCCACTTCCTCGGAAAGCAAGACATGGCCATTGGCACCTGCAACATGGCCCTGGACGTCCTACGAGATCCAGAGCTCAACTGGCAGGCATACTGCACAAGGGCCAAGGTGAGCGGACCCACAGCTCCACCTCATCCTGCCATCAAGAATCGGACAACAGGGGCGAGGGGCAAAGACCCTGTGGCCAGAGCCCATGGGTCACAGGGCCTTCATGGTGGAAGGGGGCTTAGGCGTCAGAAGGCTCACACTTTGTGTTCTCTAAGATTGCTGAGTGAGAGAATGAAGGAGCTTCCCCCACTGCACATCCCTTCCACAATGACCTGGCCAGCGGCCCGCCAGCCTCGTCCTGGATTAGCAGCCAGGGCAGTCAGACTAACCCGGTGGAATTCTTGCATCTCCACTTACTGCTGTGGGACTTGGGGCAAGCCACTTACCCCTCCAGACCTCCCGGTCCCAAAGATACGAATAATAACATCTATCTTAAAAAGTTATCAGAAGACTAAGTGAAGTAACATCTAAAGCATGTGCCTGGAGCACGGGAAGTGCTTGTGAAAGGCGCAGGGTGTGTTAGAGGTGGTCTAATGTCGTAGATCAGAGCTCTGGCTCTGAACACCACTGGTCTTGGCCCACATCACCACTTACATGCTACCAGACCATAGACAAAATACTCTTGCCCAAACTCCGAGCCTCAGTTTCTTCATCTGTAGACTGGAGGTGATTGTACCTGCTTCACAGAGTTGTTAAGAGAATTAAACTAGAATCTGTGTGTAAAACTCTGCACTAAGCACATAGAGTTCATAAGCAGTTGAGTACTATTATTAGGCGTATTTGTAACTGGCTCACTGTCTCTCAAGGCATCCACTATGGTCGCTCAGTTCTGCAGATTACTAACTTACTGAGAGCTGCTTCCCTCTGGCTGCCACCAACTGGTCCCACATCTGCCCTCTGGAGCCCCCACAGTTCCCATCTGCTTGGGGATGGAGCCCTGGAGCTCTGAGTTTACTGCTCCAGGCTAAACAGTCTTCTCCACTCCCTTTCACGAGACATGGTGGTGAATCTGCTCTCCTGGTCTTGGCCCATATGACACAATCATTTTACCAGCAGGTACTAGGCCGTCAATTCTCTCATTGCAGTTGATGTGATCATTATCAATAGTAATATTACTCCTACTAGTAAATAATAACACTTTTCCATAACACTCTGCATTTCACCCAACACTTCACGTTTGTAGTCTGATTTAATCCTCACAAGACCCTGTGAGAGGCCAGATTCTACTAAGGATGGCACAGAGGCTCGGAGAGGCAGTGACCTTCCCCAGGTCCTGCATTCAGTTAGTGGGAACTCAGACCTCACTCTCCTCCCCCCCATCATAGGTTGGCTTGTACTTACACTCACTGCCTCCCTGTACCTCCAAAGGTCATGCTTACTACTCAGATGACCAGACTAGCACCGGGATGGAGGCAGGGGATAGTGAGGAGGAAGGAACAGAAGGGAAGGGAGCTCAGTGTAAAAGCCTCAATCCCTGTTGTGACCCTAAGGCCCTACCTGGCCCACTACCTCTAGCCACCCCTGGCTCAGCGCCCTCTCTCCCAGCCCCACGGGGGTCCTTGCTGTTCCTAAGGCCTCAGGGCCTAGAACCTCTTTTCCCAAATATCCAATTCCTCCCTCCCTTCTTGAGGGCTTGAAGAAAAGGCAGCTCCTAGCAGCCATCTTACCGAAAATGTCAACCTCTCGCCAACACTTCATGTCCTCCTGTCTTGGTTGATTTTTCATTCTTAGCACTTATCATTCCCTAACATACAACTTGCTGATTCAGCATGTTTATTGTCTCTCCCCTCAGCTAAAATACATGCTCCGTAAGGACAGGGGATTTTGTTGTTTTGCTCTCTACTCCAGCCTCAGTACCTGGAACAGAAGCTGGCACACAGCAGGCTCTCGAAGACTTATTTGTTGAATGAATGAATGAAGGAATTGAGTACCTATCGTGTGCTAGGTCCTTTCTAGAATGTGTTCTCTCCAACATCATGGTAACTCTCAAGGAAGATTTTAGTGTACTTATTTTTCAGATGTGGGAAATGAGGCTCACAGAGGTCAAGCTAATAAAGAGAGGGAGGAGATGGAATTCAGCCAAGTCCAACTGGCTCCAGAGCCAGAGTGTCCCACTCACACCCCACCCCCACCCCATGAAGCTGTCTTAGAACCAGAGCCCCCAGACGGCTATAAAGCACTAATACCTTCAACAACAATGACCCCTTTTTTCTTTTTTTTTCTTTTTTTCTTTGTTTATTTAAAAAATTTTTTTTTCATCTTTTTTCCTTTTTCAGTTTTATTAGGTAGAATTATTACAGTTTGACTGTACATATATATTGCATGTAAATACATATATACAATATACTGCACTTTTTTTTTAGTTTACATATGTGTACTTATCATTGTTTCTAAGAACAGATTAGAGCTTTAGCTTTTTAAACTTACATGGTTATCAAAGGAATATAGCCAACCACAAAATAAGAATCAACAGAATGTAGTTATCCAATCATAAAGGACAGAATGACCCGATTTTCCTTCCTCCTTCTCCACCTCTTCACAATCCCTCCTGAATCTCTAGATTTTCTGAATGCTTCAAATAAATGTGAGGAAAAGGGAGGAAGTGGTGATGAAAGCAAAGATCTAGGATCATTTGTAACGTGATGCTTGTAAGCTGGGGCCCCCTGCCATTCTTCTCACACTGCTTGCTTATGTAGACTCTCACAAAATCAGTGCTGCCATCTCATCTCAAATAACCCCTCTCCCCCAGTCCCCTCTATCCCATCACCCTGTTTATTTTTTCACAGCACTTGTCACCACTTGAAATGGTCCTGTTTACTTGTTTATGATCATCTCCCTGATTAGAAGGTTAAGTTCTGCCAGGGCAGGGACCTCATCTGCCTTGTCACCACTGCACCCCAATACCTAGCACAGGGACTGGCTTACGGTGGGCACTCAATACACATTTGTTGAATGAATGAGTGAGTGAATGAATGGCTCTTACTTCATCCAACCCCCTCCTCGTACAGAGAGGGAAACTAAGGCCCAGAAAGGGGAGTGGCTAGCCCAAGTTGGCGCACGACTAGGACCTAGGACTCCCAAGTTCCAGTCTCAGGGGCTTTCCACAGCACCATAGAACCTCCCTGATTGCTGCTGAGGGAAAAACAGGCTTTTTGGGGTGGGGGGTAGAAAGAAGGGCAGGGGTCCTTGCTTGGAGCATCCTTTCTGAGTGGACACTCTTTGGGCAGATCCACATCAGAGCCTATCTGCACGACTTGGAGCGAGGCAAGATGGGGCTTGGGGGCATACCTGATAGGAACCATCTGGCCTGCGCCAAGGCCGACCTCGAGGAAGTGGTCAAGGTGTGCCCAGGCTTCAGGACCTACCTGGACATCGGGCAGGTAAGGCAGCCTCTTGGCTTGGGTAGCATGGCTTACTGAAAAAACCTATTAACTCTCTGCCAGGCCAGGCCTGGGCACTGAGAACACAGGGAGGAATACTGGATAGTACCCACCTCCTGCAGCCATGGTGAGGATTATAGGATATAATACACCTAGAGCATTCAGAACAGGGACCGGTTCTTTCTAAGCACTCAGAAAGGGTGGACCATTATTCCGTATCCAGAAGTGCCTTCTGTGTACAGGGAATGATTATCAAGAGATGACAATATCTTAGGTATGAGAAAACTGAGGCCCAGAGATTGCCCTGCTCAAGGTTATAATGCCAAGAGCCGTGGGGCTGGAACTGGAATTGGAGTACTGTCTCCTTCTCCAGGACAGCAGTACCAACATTTATGATGAATAACTGTCGAAGGAAGGAGGGTGGGAATGAATGCATGGAAATTTTGAAACAGCAAGCGTGGGAATGGTATGAGCGGGGAGCAGCGATGGCAGGGGAGAAAGGCTCACCCCGCCACTGCTACCCCAGGTCTACTACTACATGGGCGTGGACGCCGTGCAGGAGCTGCTGGCGGTGGACGAGGCGGCGCTGAACCAGGCGCTGGTCTTCCTGGCCAAGGCCGGCGAGTCGGAGCTGGGCGCCACGCTGCCGGAGCTGCAGCTGCTGCGCGGCAAGTGCCTGCGCATCAAGGGAGAAGAGGCCAACGCGGCGGCCTGCTTCAAGCGCGCCGTGGAGCTGGACGACGCGGGCTCCAGCCACACCGAAGGCTTCGGCTGCCTGCTCGAGGCGCTGCTGGCGCAGTGGAGCCAGGCGCAGCTCAGCGACGCCGAGCTGGGCCACGAGGTGGACGCGTGGCTGCGCCGTGCCCAGGACAAGTACCCGGCGGCGCGCCTGCGCCAGGAGCTGCA